CAGGAAAGACACAGAATTGCAGCACCGTTTGTTAAAGCTTTGCAAAACATGCTTTGTTTGAGCCAGGCAGATACAGGTATAGGGCAGGGACTCAAATGCTACTTACTCAGCAGAACACTGATTAAGCCACTGAGCTATTAAACAATGCTGTAACATCTCCAGCTTCTTAAGACTTATTTTATTCATATGTATAAATTCTTTTGGAAGTGTTATCTAAGGTTATTTTGGCTTTCCTGCTCTGCACAAAATTTGGCTTCACAGGGCTAAATAGAACAGACTTAAATTTTTCATGTAAACTATGCTCACAAATACACAATTTTCAAATGGTAGAGGGCAATTAAAGTGTGAATGGGATAAATAAAACTGGTTGAGCTTGCTGCCTTCTCCATAAACTTCATCCATATGAGGACCTGACAAAAATGCCTTTAAATAAAGCACTGCAGCCACCTAGCCTTGAAAAGATGCAAGTGTTCAGTAACACTGATCACAGCTTGGAATTAAGTAAAAGCCTTCCATGTATTTATAGGTACTTAGGAAGCCAGTAAAAGATGGATCAGTTGAAGCCAGTAACACAGAAACCAACTGAATTAAGTAACAGAACAACCATAATTCACTGCAGCAACAGTTGTCTAAATGTCCATCTTTCTTGAGTTTGTCTTTACCAAGTTGCAGGACAGTCATTTTTGCTTGGCTTATAACCAGTTCTTGCTACTGCTTTGTTTGCTGGTTCTGCCTAACGCTGATGAAACAAAGAACAAATGGATCAATGTTCTCATTGGGTTTACAGGGAAACCAGTAATCAGGACACAGGATTCAATTCCTTGAGTCCTAATTGTACAAGAATTTGCTAGAGTATCCCTTTAGATTGCTATAAATTATGAAGAAACAGCAACCAAAAAAAATAGAAGAAGAGGAAAACATTGTGGTGGAAAATGTGGACAGATTTAAACCTAAACCAGTGCTGCTGCTGTATAAGGGCACTTCTAATTTTCCTCTGCTGTCAACCTCTGTGTCATTCTCAGAGCATAACTAATTGCAACCCTCACCTGCTTCCTCTCAAAACTCTCAAATTTGGCACCCATTACTAAAAAAAAAAGCCTTATTTTACTGAGATTAACTGTCCACCTGGACAAATATTCTGATTCCTGCTTTTCTGAATGATAAAGACAGCAGAGGAACCTTAATAGTACATCACAGCAAAACAAGGTAAGACCAGACATTCCTATTCTCCCTTCTCTAAAGGGAATTTTCAATATATCAATCAGACTTTTGATACTAGTTAACTACCAAAATTATTTTCTTTATTTTCCATCCAGCTACAGAACTAGCTGAAAATGTAAAATGAAGGACACAAAATATTAAATCAGAACTGAGGTGAAAAATCAAACCAAAAGATTCAAAGACTGCTCACGAATATACTTTTTCTTTTCCAGGTGCACAATAGTTTTGTAAGTTTCTCTCTTAGGGGTGTGAAAGGATTAAAAGGAGACCTGGTGTGGCAGCCTCTGGCACACAGAATCACAGCATGTTTGGAGTTGGAAGGGATGTCAAAGATTACCAAGTTCCAACTCCCCTGCATTGGCAGGGACACCTCCCACTGGACCAGGTTGCTCAGAGCCCCATCCAACCTGGGACAGGGATGGGACAGCCACAGCTTCCCTGGGCAAGTTGAGCCAGTGTCTTACCACCCTCACATTAAAAGAATTTCTTCCTAATGTCTCACCTAAATCTCTCTTCTTTCAGTTTAAAACCATTACCCCTTGTCCTCTCACTCTATTTAACGCTGCCTGCTGTCAAGAACAGGCAGCTGGTAAACATGAACTCGGCTGAATAGCCTCTGTTCTTCTGGTTTTGTTCTTCTCTCAAGAGCTACTTATGAACTTATTTATTTTGTTGTTTTTAAATTCTCTGGAAAACTGTATCCCATTTGTTACAAACACTGTATAAGCTGAATATACTGAGTTCCTATGCTTTGAGGAACTATACGTTCATTTTTAAATAATTATACCTGCAGATACTTTACATGGAAAAAAAAATCCAAGTTCTTGTTTGCTGGTATTTAATATCAACATGGTCACATTGGTAAATACCAAATTATTAAAAAAAAAAAAAAAGTTTTTAATCTCAGCTCTTCTGCTTGTTACAGTCTAAGAAATTCTTCTAGAATAAAAATTTTGTACTTCTGATGCTTCCTTATAAATAAAAAGAGCAGCCTTGTGCCATCCTTGTGTGATAGGAAGTGACAGGCAAAGCATGACATCACTCTTTATTTTTAACTGACTGCCTTCTGGTGAATTTATTTTGCTGTCAGTAGATATTACAGCAGTGTTAGCCCCATTCAGGCTTTACAGAGACAGAAGCCCTGTGCTGAGTTTGATTCCAGACACTGGCAGTTCTTAAGTTTTTTAAAGGAGAATCTTTCTTTCCAAATTGGGCACAGTGGCTCACATCCACAGACAGATTAATGTCCCAGAGAAGTGGTGAAGTACACAACAAGGGTCTATAACCATCAAAGGCATCCTTGTGAATTTTACCATTACATCTGCACCAGACAGGCTAACTCCTTGAAAAAAGCATCAAACCCTTTACTCAAGAACATAGGCTTAGCCAGCAGGTAACTGACTACTCATACATAATTAAACTTAGCACCAGTCTCAGTCCAGCATCTTTAAGAGCCTCCATGTCCTAGTACCACAAATATAACTTATCTTCTTACTATAGCTACATGCCCAGTGCCAAAAATAAGAGAGGGTCAGTAAGTTTATTACCAAAGAACATAAATTAAAGATGTTTCTGCCCTTCTCCTACAGAGCCTTTAAAACGAAGAAATGGAGGAACTGCACCTTCAGGATTCCTCAAGAGAGCAGAGATCCAGCACAGACTGTGCTTACACTACCTTGTAAGTGGTAACCTCCATTGCCTTTTTAAGTCTGTTTGGCTTTCCTCATCCACCAGCTTGTCTTTTGGCTTCCCACTAAGGAAAACACTGTCATTCATCATACAGTATTCAAGCACACTGTAGCCTTAATAATTATCACATCATTATTGTCATTATTAAATAATAGATAATTTAATAGATATATTCTTAATAATAATATTTTAATAGACAATATCAATAATTAATAATAATATTAATAATTAATAGTAATTAATAAATAAAGACTAAGTTCTGAAAACCCAAGTTTTGCATGCCCACAGTAATAAGCACAACTAGATGGCTGCAAGGGCAGAAAATAAGTGTTTTCCTCCTAAAAAAAATAAATATATATATATATATCACAGCAAGAAGTTGAGTCTTGACTCTGTCCTTCATGAACAGTCTGACTCCAAGGCACTTCAGTCAGGCAACTATTACCATGCATTAAAAAAAAATAATCTATGAACAGCATATACACATACACAACTTAAGAACATAAGCAATTACTTATTGGCCAATTCCCACATCAGCTGGAATGTGTAAATCCCTAATAACCTTCTTTGCCTTGGTTGACTCCACAATCATGCAGAGAGGATCATCAGGCTCTACTACTTCTTGCAACAGACTAACAGTTCTTAGTGTTGCTTTTACTGCCTTCATTTCTCTTGGAGGATTTATCTTTTCATGCTTGTTTTTCTTCTTCAATCTTCAAACTGCTGATTCCATTTCAACAATTTTACTTGTCTACAATTGTGCCTTTCTCATCTTACATGGCTGAAGACTAAGTACATTCTCACAACTCTTTCTTGCCGTTTAGCAGTTTTTGCAGCAGGAAGGTTATCTGGTTGGTCTGAGAGGGTCTGCACCCTGCTAATATTTCATAGCCCACACATTCTAAACCGCTCTGGGGAACTGTGGTGATTTCCACATCGAGTATGTGTTCTAGAGCTCAGCAAACTCATTTTCTGTCACTGAACAAGCCAGTGAGGCACCCATAGAGAAATACTGTACATGTTAGCGAGAATAAGAGGCACCACATCCCTCAATACTACCCTGCTACCACTATCCGCAGGAAAACGGGAAGCGCTTGAGAGGCTGGGACACGTTACACACACCGAGAGGCGTTCCCGGGGTGCGGGGGAAGCCGAGCAGCAGGAGCCGGCAGCTCCCACCGAGCCTGGCCCCTCTGAGAACCCAAGCGGCGGCAGCTGCG